GATGGCCCCGCCCCTCCCTGAGCCTGGTTCTGCTGGAGGTTTCTTCCTGTTAAAAGGGAGTTTTTCCTTCCCACTGTCGCCAAAGTGTGATTTGGCGCTATATAAATTGAATTGAATTGGATGGATAGATGGAAGGGAATACAAACTTTAGTCCAGCTTTTTTAAAATTCAAATTATACTTGGCTTGACTCTAAAGCAAAGGAAGGAAAATAAAAATATATATTTTTATTTTCTGTTGCCTATATTGTAGAGAGTGTGTTTGCCTCTAAATAGGAAATTGTTTACAGTCAGGGGTTAAAGTGGATTCAGCAGGTGGAGGAAGCCCAAAATTGGTTAAAATGGCTCGGTGTGGGGATTAGAATCAAATGCACAACAATTTATATTGAGAGCTCCAGTAGATTTTTTTTAGTGTAGATGCTGTGATCGGCTGACCTGCTGCTCTTTGTGGATGTACTAACTGAATTCAACCAGATTTGAACAGATGGCTGATTTCCATCCTCTACACTGACAGTACACGGATTATGCTGTCTTTACTTTAAACAGTATAAAGTTGGTATGAAGGTGAAATTCAGTGAATGACTCTCTGCTACACTTGATGTAAGATAACTGTGACCATGAACCCACAGCCACTATGCACCAGTCACACACTGTTCGTTACTTTAAACCCATCACAGTGCAGCAAACTGACCTGTTTATTTTGCACTAATCTGCAGATGATTTTCATGCTTTAAATAATACACTTAGTCTGCTTCAGTTTGTTTATTAGCATGTTTCACATTATGAATGTCACATGTACAGACCCAATATCTGATTTAAAAACACGAGGAATTACATGTAAGCTTTAAATGAAATAAAATGAAATGGAAATGAATAAAACGAAATTATTTAAAAAATTGCATTATTTGTCTAATATTAAAATTAATTTAATCTGAAACAAGAAATTGTGACAAATAAGAATAATTGTAGAAAATAAACAAGGGTGCGAATACTTTTTCACAGCACTGTGTTATATATGTATTATTTGGAAACAAAAATCAAAATTTGTTTTCATTAATATAAGTAGAACAATTTAATTTTTATGTATTTTAAAAAAATAATAATGATATAACACATTCAAGGGCTTTTTTGTATGTTTCAGTTTTAAACACTTTCCTAAATTATGTTTATTTTTACTTTACAAAATCACTCTGCAGTGTTCAAACCCACAGCTCTTTCAAACACCCTCTGAGCATCATCAGCAAGCTCATTAAGAAAAAACATCACAAATTTGTAGGGGGTGATATAAGAGAGACTCAGTGCTGCTGGGATTCCAAATATTGGGAAGGATCTCGATCGTTCTTTTGCTGCCAGTATTGCAGCTGTAAATTGTAAATCCAATCAAGACCTTCATGATGACATATTTATCAATTTCTTCTCCAGCCAGTGGAGAGTTTGAGATGACAGCACACAGATCAGTCTATGGCACCCCTTGGCTGGCACCAAGTCTCTTCAGGGATGGTTTATCAAGACCAAACCCCTGTACATAATCTCTGACACAAGGGCGTAGATTTGGTTTTGGCATTCGTGGGGACGGATGATTCAACCACCGAACCCTACCCTGTTTCTTATTTTTTTCCTTTTTGTCTTTGCTTCTTGATAAAAGGAGAAATATACTTGCCCATTACTTCAGTTATAGTACACCAACATCTCTGATACATCAGCACTAAGGGAACACTGAATGATCTGGTGGTTTTTGTCCATAAAACTACTCGTCTAAGTTTACCACAAAGTAAAAGATCTCTCAAAATTATGCAACAGTTTAGGCACTACTGCCCCGATCAAGTCAGTGAGCTGGGATCTTTTATTCTAAACATGAACTACTGTTACAGCAACAGACATGGAGTACTGGTGCTGTCCAGTCTCTCCTGGAGGACATACAGCAGCATTGTTTAATCTCATTTGAGTCACTGTTGACCTTAGCCATCTTTTTAGTCTTCTGAGAGCACTGAAGCTTCTTTCAGCCTCAGTACCTGCGTTTTATCCTCAGATTAAAATTATTATTCTGTGCTTGATGAGCCTCACCTTTGACCCTGTTTAATAACCGCGGGACGTGACAAAACGTCGGGATGTTATGCCTCGGGAGTGAGAACAGGCTCTCCTAGGAGGTTAATTCAGAGTGGCAAGCTCAAATGTTTTATTTGACCAATTATAATTTCATAAGTACAGAGGATATCTACACTTGAGCTCTGTTTAAAAACTGCTACCAAATCTGTTTTTGTTCACCATATTTTTTCATGTAACCCCCTTTCGGCATCAATATTACGGGTTGTATCATGGTTTGAACCAGATAATTTCTGAAGAAATTTAGAAATTTAGTTTTCAGCAGCTTATAAGAACCAACAAGATATATGAAGAGTCACGAGAAGTTGAACATTCCTTACTGGAGCTTGAGAGTATTGAGAGAAAAATTCAGTTAGCTTGAAAAAAGCTATAAACAGATGCTGGGTTGTCATTTTAGTAAGAACATTAGCAGGTAAACTGTGCAAATAAAATGGTGATCAATTAATAAGCCAGTGAGGCAAGCAAAATTTCTACATATCAGTCATCAAAACTTTGTCCTTTGTATAATCGAGCAAAGCTTATAGGACTGAATCTTGATTTTAAGAATAGCAGCTGTGCTGGTTGGCTTTAAAGCTGCTCTTTGAACAGTCTTGATAAAAAGAAAGAGAGAGAAAGAAAGGGTTAAATCATCACCCATGAGCAGCCACTTACAGGTGGGGAAGTAAAATCTTATTAAATGAAAACTAGTCATTAAGGAAAGGATTATTTAATGATCAATTTTTCAACTTTGTAGTGTGGATAAAGTCGGTGTGGTTGTAGGATTAAAAACACTCTGCTCTCATTAATTTCTGACAATATTTGGGAGCTGTTTCATGATTGTTCTTTTAGCAGTTATTTTTAATACATGGTAATTATGCTGTTCTAAAAAAAAATGTAAAAGAAATTACAACAGGATTTAGTTAATAAAAGTCCAAAGCTTCGTGACCCATATTAACTTCTAATGATGTTTCATTAAATGCTCATAAGTAGCTCCAAAGTTGGCTGGGTTTTAAGACTTTTAAGACTTGTCCCATTCAATTTCCCATTCATTTCCTTGGAAAGGGACAAAACTGCATTTGTATGGAAAAACTCTTTTGATGGATAACTACCAGAATATTCCCAATATTTCCAACTGTGCTCTGTGGCTAGGCTTGCAGAGCACTGGTACTGCAGTGATTTCAAGGGCAGACCTAGAGTGCCCAACTCCCTGGTATGGCATTTTGAACAGACAATCATATTAGCCAGCTAAAGTGCTGGAACAGATGGTGGTAGAGCTTGCAGTGATGCAACATTTGGACAGTGCATCGCAAATAGGAGAAGCCACAGGACCAGACAAAGCACCAGACGAAGGTTCTGGCTGCTTTGGATGTCTGTAAGGCGATCCTGGACTGGCTAGTCATCTCCCCAGATCTGCGGTAGTAGGACGGTGGCATTTGTGTATGTCCATGGGCTTTCAGATGATGCAGCCTAGCAAGACCAGGAATTTCTGGGGAAAACAGTGGTTTGGGTACAGTGCCATTGGACAATGAACCTGGAATCTGCAGTGATGCTGCCTGAGGATCACCTGGTGATGCGGCTGGAGGTTGCCCTGAGGAGAAGACTCCCCGGCTTCACCTGGCATCATGTACCGCAGAGTGGCCACTGTGTCTAGAGTACTACTAACCAGTTTCTTTCAGTTGTCTCGCCCTTCATCCCAGCAACTGTGGTTGC